GTACCAAACTTTCGGAGTTGGGAAAGTCACAGGATGCTGTCCAATCTATTTATCCGAAGCTTGAATCGTCTCACCTATCACTTATGGACGATTATCAAACGACTAGCGTTTCTCCAATTGATACATTTCATGATGTAGTCGAAACAAATAGTTCTAAAGTCATTTCCAATGCTTCTGTTGTAAGATACACCCCCAGCAATCAAAGAACAGACTTGTCTCAAAATACTCGCACGTTCCCTGCTGATAATCGACCAGATTCGTTGACTTCACCTGAAGAAACCTGGAAATGTTTCGTATGTGGACAACTTGCTCCAAAGATGCTGACGAATTATTTTTCACTTATCGATTTGGCACCACCTGGAACTACCTGGAAATGTAAATTATGTTGCCAGTGGAGAGCTTGAAGTGTAGATCTAGGGGCAGCACTTACCATAAGTCTTTGAGAGGATAAAATTATTCTGAACAATGTTTGGTAGTTTTACTTCTGTCTTCAAGAAAACATAAGAAATATCTCGTGTAAATGACATTGATCAATACAGCTTACGAGGTAAAGATGTTCTGAGAGCAGCTTGCCTAAGTACTAAATGTTAAAGTATCTGGTGTACATATTTACAATTTTCCTAGAAAACTGTTTAAATGTGTTTAGTGTTTTAAATATATTTCGCTAATGCGAAAACAAATTAGTTTTTAATCTGGAACGTGAGGACACTTTTATTGAACTGTTTGTGACTGGAGAGACAAATATTACAGAGTGCCGCGGAAATTTGTGTATGAGGGCTTTGATGCGTGCAAGGGTTTACTTTTATGTAGGCGTAGGACTACTTGTGGTCTTGAAGCAGAGACTGTATATCTGTTAAGTATTAAACACTGTATAAATGAATGGATTCCCTGTGGTTTTATGCTAAAGCTTTAGAAGTAGTTTCATTTACCATGTGGTAGGCAAACTAAGAACGCTATATCACACGTCTCCACTCTTTGAAATGCTGGGTGCCTGGTATCCGCCATTGCTATAAGCTGGAATGAAATCAGAAACATTCTAACGCTGACTTGAAGTTTGTGATGAATTTTATCAGGATCGTGGTGACGGAAATGAGACCAATCAGGTACAACACTTGGGGCAGGAGCGACTTCAAAATTATAGAATTAGGCCTGGAGAATTGTTTACATTCTTTTCGGCACATATGGCCACATCTCGTCACACCGTTACAATAAGTCATGCGTAGTCACGATTTGTCACGGCTCAAGGCGTTCCCTCGTCACTCTTTCAAAGGATGTCACGCCTAGTCACACTTTGTCACCCTTGGTCACGCTTTTAATATCTTGGTGATGTTTTAACACTCAAGGCGTCCCCTCGTCACTCTTTCAAAGGATGTCACTCCTAGTCCCGCTTTGTCACTAATATATTTAATATATATAATTGAAGACAATGAAGTATACAGCAGCTGCGGTAATGATGAATCGAGTGATGCCAGAAAGCGATGGTCTTTGAGGCGTGGAAGAATTTTAAGAGGACCTAAGAGTTGTGAAGAAGATAAAATTATCTAATACTCTGCAGTGTTGATTTTCTAGTGATGTGTAGTGTTGTGAAATCTATACCAAACGTCAGTGAGAGGTGAAGATAGTTTGTTTCGTGCTGACTCACTGTCAGCAACGCACAGTGTAACCGCACCGTCATTATCACTTGTACCAGGACAGCTGAACTGTTAGCAGCAGCGTCAACAAACTCCATTCGTCAGTTCCTGTACTAATTTACGAGAAGACCATCGAAGTGTTATTAAACAAGCATTTTGCGGTGAGTAGAAATTGTTTCTTTGCATTCTACATGGAAATAAGCTAGATTTGTAGTGTCATAACACACTTTTGTGTGTTATGACGTCTTTACATTCCAACATTGAATAACGTGATGTAGTCGGAATGGTCCAATACAGTGTTAAGTCAATACAGCGCTATTTAAAATTTTGAGCTTAAAAACCATGAAGTGATATAGGAACGTGATAATTAATTTTGTTTTTTTGTGGTTGATTTAATGACGCTGTGAGAACTCACAGTAAATACCATCTAATGATCGGATTAATGAATAATAAATTGTAAAGTGTGTGGAAGGAAGCGGTCATAGCCTAATTTAAGGTACTAGCCCGGAAATCGTCTGGATATATGTGCGAAAAGGACATAAACGCCAGTTACGGTAGCCGGACCCAGTCAGAGTTCAGAACACTAGATCTCCCGAATAATAAGCAGGGAGGAATGCACAATAATTTACGAAGATTTATAAGCAGGCGTCGTGAAGGTAGTGTCTGTGCATTAGCCTGATAAGACTGAGGAGTACCACGCACAACCTCAGTAAACCACAACGTTCTATGTAAATGCCCAATTCCAAATTCTGTAAACTGTTCAGTAATCTTGCAGGCAGAGAGCGGAGATGGCCTGGAAATCTCCATAATGCGGACATTTCGTCGTAAGATTCCAGTTTTAGGCCCCGAGTCCCCCGTCATTGGTTCCCATTGGACAGGAAGCTGGCCTGGCCGTTTGGGGAAAGAGAGATATCTCTGCCCCTGTCAGGAATTGAACCGCGGTCGTCCAGCCCTTAGGTTGGCCACCTCGAAACTAAGGTTGCCGTGAACACGGTAATGAACCTTCAGGTTGAATAAGAATCGTGGAATCTTTTTGAGTAGCTGAGCGACTGTCATCTTTCCTGAATGGGGTTAATTCATGAAATGCGCCAGTCCCAAATTTTCTATGCTCGTTACTGATCACCTCGGAATCGTGCGAGGAGTGCCGTGGCCCTGCGGAACACGGTTTGAGGATCTTTCCTCTGTAAACAATGACTGGAAAGTTTTCCTCCTATTACGAAATAAGTACACAATGTTTCCGCTACGTAAGCATAAGCGTCATCATTTCTGTGTTTGCTGTACAATCACGTCAAAATATATTCCCAATGACGCTGCTGCCTGTCTGGGAAATCCTATACTTGAATGCCGATAGTAAAACCCATTATCCTCGAGGTCCTCTCTCCCTCCGGCTGTAGAGGAAAATTTCTCTGTACAATCGCAGCACAGGCCACGATCGCTCACTTCCGTGTCCTTCCAAATTTATAATTATTATCATGTGATGTATGGGTCTGTTTCAAAGTGAAACATGGACGATCCATTGTGTTCGGATAAGACTAATTTAAGGACCAATGGAATTGTCCGATGAGCATAGTTAGCAATTCTTACGTGGCCGCATATGATTTCCGCTTGCTGACACAAGAACGAGATCCCGTTCATAATTCACAGACGTTTTTCGTCGTTTTCCTCAGTCCTTACAGGCAGTTCCACTTTAATATTATCCTCCCACTAATACCTGTGTATTCCAAGTGACCTCTTGTCTTCAGGGTTTCGAGCCAGAAGTTTGTACGAATTTCTCATATTCCCCATGCCCGTTGCATGCGCTCACATGAACAACTGAACATCGCTGGATGTTGAATTCAAGTTCTGCGTGGACCACATTGCCTCGCGAACTCGCGTATTACGTCACATCGTTGCAGTGACCTTGAAGCACGCTGTTGCTATAGTAATCGTGTTCCGTACTGATGAAAAATGTTCTTGGTTAGTATTGTTACAGCAATGGCTTTTGATGCCATCGTCTAGGCAATCAAGAGTTGACAGTTCTATTGAAGGGACTGAGGTAAACCAAAGAAATCGTCTGTAAAGGTAGTGTGTAGCCCGAGATAGAATTACAGAGGGTAACTCTTGCTGGCTGGTACTCCGTGTAAGACGGAGTCTTCATCTGCGTCATTGTGAACGGTTTAAGTTAGATTACACTTTATGTTAAATCTAGTTCAGTATTGTTAAGAAGTCTTAATTGCACGTTTTCCTAACAGGAACTGAATCAGTCAACGCATTCAACACAATGGATTCGGTGCCAAAGGACCTGGATCAAGGCCTCCTTCAAGAGTTGGAATGTCCTGTCTGCATGGAAACTATGAAGCCGCCAATCACAATGTGTGAAAACGGGCACAGTATCTGTGCGAACTGCAAACCGAAACTTACGTATTGTCCATCCTGTACAAAACCTTTCCTTCATGTCCGGAACTTGGCACTGGAGAGCCTGTCCAGACAGGTGACGGATCAAATGGGCGAGCAACAGCCCACCAGATTTCCTCAAAGTGTAGAGTGCCCTTTTACTAGGATATCAAAAGGTACGTGTCCTTGGAGAGGTCCTTTAGTGGGCATGAAGGATCATGTTAAAGTTTACCACAATAATTTAAATGACATGCACGAATCAAACGGGGCTTTCAATGTTGTACTGACTGGATTGTCACCAGGACAACATTATCGTAAAATCGTGTTCATTTCTGACGAATTGTACTACATTTATTGGAGAATCAAAGATGATTGCTTCTACTGTGCAGTATTGCACGTGGGCGAAGATAAGATATGTTCCAAATACAAGTACAAATTCACTTTAACAACGGAGAGTGACGACAAGAAAATATCCATGTCCTTTCCAACTAGATGTATTCTCGAGGATTTGGAAGAAATTCTCCTTTCAGGAGATTGTGTGATTCTGAAATATAACACTGTATTGAAATTTTTAAATGCAAATATGCATCTGGAGTGTGAGTTTGAGATAAATGTCATTGAATCAGATATGAATATCGCTGGCAAAGCTGGTGAACGGAGTGTGTGTGTTGAGCCTGATGTTCGTAGCCCCCTCTTTGGTAGATGTGGAAGACATCGTAACATCCGAAGACACGAGAAAGGAACTTCAGTTTCTACCGATAGAATAGTATCTGTCGGCAAACCAGGTCGATGTGCCCATGGAAGGCGATTCCGGCATTGTAGAATCTGCAAATATTTTACTACTGTACCGAATACAGAGGGGTCTAGTGCGGAATTAAGTACAGATTCGCTCCACAGTATTCAGTTACCAACGGGATTTTACTGTGAGCCTAGTGGACATTTTGTTGAAAATGCCTCATCAGAAAAATGTTACGTTGATTCAAAAGTTACTCCAACCGCACCTCCTGAGAAAGATCCATACTCTGATGTGGTGGAGAACTCTTCAAATTTGTCAACCGATAAAGAAGCTTCTGGTGAAAAACGTGAATATTTGGATGGAGAACTGTCAGCCGAGACGAAGTCCCACAGTTCACCGAATGAATATGAGTGTTCAAATCCGTCATCTGGTTCAACTTGGATGTGCCAATTATGTGAAAAAACTGCACCGAGATTTCCAGACTCGTTGCCGGAGCCAGGCTGGCACGTATCAAGTTCCCCCACCGGAACGAAATGGGTGTGTAAGATGTGTGGGCAAATTCGAGAGTAACACACAGCGAAAGAAAGAACAGATACTCCACTTCCATACAACGTTGCTTCTGTTATCAACATTATTTGCATTTCACGTTAATTTTTAACATCAGACGTAAATTACACGTGTCATAAGCGGAGTTCCAAGGCGGATATTTAGATATAATAAATTTGAAATGAATGGACAAGTTCCGATATCAGTACATTACTTAGTTTTTTGTAGAGTTTCTAGTGTCATTAGGACAGACCTTCTGACTCATAAAATGCAAATAAAAATCATATATAACGCGTGTCATTCACGCAACAAAAAAAAAATAAAAAAAAAAATGAAATAGTGAAACAAGTTTTTATTAAAAATTCCCTGAAGAAAGTGTTTCAAATTGAACCATTACAACATTATAATGTTCCAGATAAGATAATCACACAACAACACCAGATAATTCTTAGTTACGATATGTCGACTCTTTTATCTTACTTGTATAGATAGAATATTGTAGAACCCTTTCGTAAAAAAATAAACTGTAGTATATAATAATCAAGTGGAGTCTTATCATCCAAAGCCCTCTGACACCGTCACCACATTCTTAAGTGGGGAGGTGAAATATTATCATGGCGCCAGTTTGCCTACCGAGCCTGTAGGATCACCAACCACAGAACCGTCGTGCAAACATTTCACAGGAATGTCCCATCTTCACTACCCATTCACTTTCTTCAACAGAAAAAAAGAGTATGTCTCGAGAGTAATATCTTTTTATGGTCCTTTTTCTAAGTGAATATTGAATCTTATTTCCTTATTACGACCAGCCTTCTGGTGCCTGATGACTTCAGAAGGCAGTGAGCGCCAATCTGAATCGCCGATAAGTGTCATGGAGAGTTTACTGCTGTCCGTATAGAAGACACTGTTCTTATTACTATCCTATCTAGAAGACTGGAGACAGTTCCCCCAATGGGGCTGGAAGCCTGGCATTTATGTTGCTGGACTCCCACGAGAAGACCCTCTGTCTGGCTGCTGATTGATTCCTCGGCTATTTAACAACACTGATTCAGCTTAATATTTATATACTGTCGAATATTTCTTAATTGTGCAAGATTAATGGGAGACCAAAACGCAGGTGGGATAATATTAAAATGAAACTTGGTGGACAAGAATAATATCTATTTTATATATATTTTAAGTCTTGTCCGTCTAATCACAATAAATTCTTATTAACTATTAAAATATTACAATAATTAACATTTAAAATATTTAAAATATATCAAATAATGTTCTTTATCGAAATATTCGATTTACATTAGACCATCATATTTTAAATATTTTAAATGTTAATTATTGTAATATTTTAATATTTAATAAGAATTTATTGTGATTAGACGGACAAGATTTAAAATATACATTCATTATATCACAATATGACGCAAATTTACCATCTCAAGAATAATATCGTCGAATACATTGGATGAATATTATGCACTATTGCCACATATACCAGGGCTGAATCGGAACACGTTACGACATGTAAACACAGAGCAAGAATTCTGGCGCGAACTTCGTGCTGTTGCGTCTGTGTTTTTAATTTGTGAGTACTCCCTTAGTAGTCAAGGTCGGGGGCGTTTCAGCCCCCTGAACATGTCGAGTGATCATCTCAAATGTAACCTGTGACGTCTGAGCTGCCTGGGGTCAATTATCAATACGTAGATGCATGTGGGTTATAGCTGGGTATACCCACACAAGGCTTCGGTCACATTCTCTCAGAAATAAAGATACGTGCGACATAGAAATGGCCGCTTATTCTTGTCAGATTTTAATCAAAACTGTAATGTGTTTCCCCAGTATACAATACACATGCAAGTCCGCTCATTGTATCTGGAATTGTAGCATGCGGCCAGGCAGACACGGAATTTTTTAACTTTTAGTTTCGGATAAACGCAGGAAGCTATTTTCGTTACCGTCATGCAAATTAAGCAAATATATTTCACTATGCCTAATCTATCTGTGGTTTGTTGTGTCGTCTCGCTAGAGAACGGCGCTGTATTCGCCTGTCAATCAAGTGACCCGACCGACAGTAGAAACAAGACAATATCGGCGCCCGTTCAATTTTACTGCCCGCGTTCCTGTTTCTTATGGGACGTCATCAACGCCATAATGATTCTTCAGCAGTTCCCATTTCATGAAGGACTTACCACTACACGAATCCCGCAAGATGTCCAAGCTTTTAAACGCGAACTATTCCAAGCCTCAGAAAATGATAATACTGTCTTCCAGTTGGAACAAAATCTAAAAAATACTTTAAAAGCAACTCAATGGATTACAAGCTGAGCACCTTAACTGCCAATAGGGGCTATTCAAATCAACAACTAATTAATGTCTAAATAACTTCCAAAATAAATCACATACAAATTAAACTAACTAAACGGCAGCCGACGCAACAGGACAGATATCAGATGAACTACCAGTCTGGCCGTTTAGGAGGGACAATGAGTCTAAATATTATCTGAACAGCTACGTAACCACATAAATCTGCATGCATTCGATAAAGCGCCCAGTTAAACTGAGAGACTCTCAGTCAATTAGAACATAGTTACGCAGAGATAACCACAACCCAACCTAGAAAAAGCAATGTGAAACAAAGGTAACAGATAACAGGCAAGAGAAAGTGAAGACAAAAATACGCTAAGATAAATTACTTACGCTAAACAGGGTCGGAGCATCTGAGTCTGTAGTGAATACCAGATTTTTCCTCTAGCCTCTGCGTCTGGACCACACCGAGCCTTCTCTCAAATGGGTACCGTGGGCCCTATTCCGGGGGTACTGCGCGGATAGCGCGTGATGCTGACCGCTCACCCCCATGTACTGGTAAGGTTGACAATCAAAAGTACGTAAACACCTACAAGGCGCATATCAGAATGTCTTTAACTTTTTAAAAGAGAGCTGATAAGGTGGATGTCGGTTTGACCACACGATGGAACAGTATCCGAGCTGTTTGGGTGGTTATCTGTAGGGCCTCATTACAGATCCGTTTCAAGTTTGCCATAGTATAGATCAGGGGAACAAATCTGGCCACAAAGTGGATATGTTACGGCCTGTTCAGGTCTGCATCAACTGCATTATAGTTAAGAATCATATGTGAACTTTTAAAGGTGGTTAACAATCTTGTCACAAAATAACACCAGCTGTTGAGGATCTTATTAAACTCGCCACAGTATGGTACAGCATACGAAGTGTTAGCTAGAATTCAATCAGCCAATGTATCATCAAAAATTCAAATTTTTCGAAAAATAAAAAAATGGAAAATATCCACACAAAAAAAAACCCCGCACAAAACTAAATATTCTTAAAGAATTTGACAATTTTTATGGAAATCCTCCCCCACGCGATCCCTGAGAGAACCGGGCTCTGCCGTACACTGTCTCTGGCGGACCCTGTATGCGCCGGACTCGGTCTCTACACGTTCTGGTCTCTGTACGACCCGGTCAATCTCGGGTGGTCTCTGCAAAGACCCAGTCCAGCAGAGACCGGTTCTGGTAGGGATCGACTAGAGAACATTTTGAAAAAAAAATTGAAATTTTTCAAAATTTTCAAAAAATCGAAAAATGCTGGAAATTGCCCAAAACGCCCACAAAACCAAAAGAAATTTGAAAATTTTTAACTTAATATTTTTTTCCCAAATTTTTCTAAAATTTTCGTTTTTGTGAGCTTTTTTAGACAATTTCCAGCATTTTTCAATTTTTTTAAAAATTTTGAAAATTTTGAACTGATCCTCACCATTATCGATTTTTGCCAGACATTCAAACACCAAATTCATATCTTGTTGCCTATCTTTCATAAAAAACGTTTTGATGCCATCCTTATTCTTCTGATTCTTCAAATTGACAGCTTTAAATAGACCACGACCCTTCAACTCCTACCTCATTATAACCCAGAGTAACAATAACTGACACTAGATGGCAGCCCGAGCGTGCTGCTAATTTTTATTTACATTTAATGTAGTCCTGTAATTACCGATGTTTAATTCCCTAATATTATTTCTCCATTTGCCCCACGGCTCCCTCATCATCGACCGTTTACAGTTTGCTAACAATTGTAAATATTTGAGAAGGACGCAGCCCACAAACCCCTCCCCTTAAATTCGTATATCAGCCGCTCGTATCTGAATGTGTACTACATATAACATGTTATTAAGTGGAGGGAGTATCTTGAAGACCCAATTGATAATAACTTCATTACTTTGACTCGAAATTAGTCGTGACAACATAACTGTTCGTCCCTTAACCACAAAACATTTATTCATAATTAAATATTATCTTTAAAATAAGCGTAGTTTCATATCCTTCCAAACACAAGACACATGATCGCGCCACGCCACCACAATTGCTGTAGGAGTTATATGTACAGTCCACGACTGTAATCTTGAGACTTGCGGGGTGTGGAAGTGGGGTGAAGGAGGAAGGAGCCTCTGCCTTTAACCCTTCGGACTTCCTGCATTCCTTGCAAGTCTCAAGATTACAGTCGTGGACTGTACCTGTAGATACTCCAATAAATTACCCTAGACCTATTTAAAACCGATTCAAGGTGTATCATGGGAAAACAAAAATAAATCCAACTGGAGTTCACAAATAAAACAAGACGAGAAGAATTTCCACGAAATCACGACATTTCGTTTCGTAAAGCAGACTCGTTACTGAACAGCAATTACTCACTCAGTCAAGACATTTTCGAACGAAAATCGACGTTTCATCGCCGTTTTCACAAAATCCTTGTGCATAATTTTGTAACATGATATATTTTTAAGGTGAGAGCTTGTTAGCCCTAAGCCCTACCGGCGATCGCGACAACAGATTGGAATAACACCCACAGACCGGGAGGTGGTACGGCCGTAGGATTACATAGGTTAAACCCAAAAACCAGTTCCAAATAATCAAAATATATTAAAAGTATAAATAAAATAGGACCATACAGGATAAACACAAACGACGAAACCAACTCACTCTGCTCAGGCTCCGGCTGGGATACCGACCAGTAACTTTCGACAAATACAGAAGAAAACGCAAGATTAGACCTAGCTCACAACAGGCAGGAAAATTTGTCTTCAGTCAGTCTCTCTCTCTCCCTCTCTCTCTCCGGCGAAGTACCCTGCCCGCCGCACCGCCTCATAAGGGCATCGAAGCCTGTGGCTAGGAACATACAGGATAAACACAAACGACGAAACCAACTCACTCTGCTCAGGCTCCGGCTGGGATACCGACCATCAACTTTCGACAAACATCTGTGCACACGAACACTATTTCATCATCGAGGTTCCTGACGACGATGGGATACACCACGTACAACTATTATGTTGGACATTATCCATCATTTTAGTGTTTTCTTAAAAATCCTAAGCCAACTTCGGATTCAATGAAATTTACTGTTCTCACGGTGAGATAGGCCAAGTCGAGCCCAGCCCAATTTGGATCACCCCTTGCTGGATTTCCGTAACGCCTTATTCAGTACATCTGCAGCAACTAGCCTCCATATTTTAAGGCATTCTGACAACG